AAAAAGCTGTGGGACATTTACACCCTGGAATACTATGCAGCCTTAAAGAAGAAGGATCTCTTACCCTTTGGGACAGTATGGATGGACCTGGAGAAAATTATGCTAAGTGAAATAAGCCAGGCAGAGAAAGACAAACATCACATGACCTCACTTATATGTGGAATCTAAAGAACTTAATAAACTGATGAACAGAATAGATTCAATGACATGGAAGCATAGAGGAGACTGACGAATGTCAGAGGGATGGAGGAGGGCGGGTGGGTGGAGGGGGAGAGAGTAATCAAAGCATTTACATGCATATATGCACAACCCAAGGACACGGACAATGGTGAGGAGAGGGACTGGGGAGCGGGAGGGGATGGGGTGGAACGGGTCATTGGGGAGAAAAAGGGACATCTGTAATATTTTAAACAAAAATAAAATTTAAAAAATAAAAATAAAAAAATAATAATAATAAAAAGAAAAGAAAACATTAATATTAATATATACTTGGTCTGGGAATGTAATTGCTGTTGCAACCAGATTTATGGACATACCAGTGTCACTGCTTTGCATCCCCTCCTATCATTTTTAGATAACTGGGATTATGCCATGCACACTTATGCTGGATGTTCATTTCTCATCTAAAAACATAACTTCACATCTTTCTATGTCAGTATATAAGGACATTTCTGATTTTTTCCAATAACTCAACATGTTACAGGACAGATAAACTATAACGCCATAATCATCATTAGGCAATTTTCGTCATTGTGCGAACATCACAGAGTGTGCTTACACCACCCTAGATGGTAAAGCCGACCAGACACCCAGGCTACATGGTCTAGCCTATTGCTCCCATGAGATTACATCAAGCACAAGAGAAAATGATGCAATCAAGAGGGGGTGTCTATACAAGGTGTATGAGACTGCTCCTGGGGAACAGCGTACTGCTTAACAATAAAAAGTAGAGCACAGTAAACACATAAACCAGGAACACAGCCGTTTATTATCATCATCAAGCATTACGGAATTGAATGTGCTGTACTTTTACACACTTGGCAGCGTAGATTTTTTGACACTAGCGTCAGCACAAACACGTATTTGTTATACTATGACATTACAACAGCTACGACGTCACTGGGCGATAGGAATTTTTCAGCACCATTATAATCTTATGGGACTACCATCGTATACGCGGTTCATCATTGACTGAAAGGCTATGTGAAACAGGACTGTAATTATTATTACAATTATTAAGTTATAGGGGCTCTTTATATAGATAGATGTGTTACAAATATCTTCTTCCACTCTGTGGTTTGCCTTTTCACTTTCTTAGTGGAATCTTTTGATAAACACATGCTCTTTAATTTTCTATTTTGTTTTTCAATAATGATTTTTGTGGCATGTTTAAAAAAATCTTTCCTACATTATCACGGAGATTCTTTTTGTTAATTTCTAAATCTTTATTACTTTACCATTCACTTTTAAGCCTACGATCTACCTGGGGTTAATATTTGTGGTAGCAGACAGTATTTATTTATTTTTTTCAATATGTATATTTAATTGACCCAGCACCATTTTTAAAAGGATCATTTTGGGGAAACAATCAACAATATTACCTTCCCAACAGCCACATGTCTGCATAGTAGTGGGTCTGTTTCAGTGCTCTCTGTTCTGATCCAGTGTCTATTTGTCTATCCTTGTATGGCCAACACATTTTATTAAATATATAATATATCTTAATATCCAGAAAAGTAAGTCCTTCCTTTTTGTCTTCTTAAAGTAAATTTTGGTTCGTCTGAGCCCTTTGCATATTCTTATAAATTACAGAATCAGCTTATCAGTTTCGAAAACAAAACCTATTTCTTTTAACTAACAATGTCATGACTCTGTAGATCAATTTGGGAATTGTTGACATCATCGCAATATTAAATCTCCCAATCCTTGAGCATGATATATCTTTCCACTTATTTAAGACTTCTTTAATTTATCACGCTCGTATCTTCTGTTTTCTTCATAGAGGTCTTGAGCATATTTTGTGAGATGTAGTCCTAGGCATTTGATACTTTTGAGCTTTGAAAATAGTGTGATGTATATAAATATGACATATACATCTTTATGTATAAATTTAATTAAATTTTATATACTTAATATGCATTGAACAACCTCGCTGAACTAACTTAGTAATTCCACAGTTGGTAGGTTTTAAAATTTTTTACCTATGTATACAATCATATCACCTTCTGGGTGATGGTTTTCTTTTTTCCAATCCTTATACCTTTATTTCATTTTCTTGATTACTGAATGTTGAAATTATCAATTATTTTTCTTCTTGTATCTATTGAGATAATAACATGAATTTCCTCCTTTATCCTGTTAATAAACACTGGTGATTACATTAATCAATTTCAGTGTTGAGATAATTTTGCATTTTTAGAATAAACCCAAATTAGTCTGGATGTATTAAACTTTTTATATATTGCTGGATTTTATTTACTAATATTTTGTTTAGAATTTCTGCATCTAAACTCAGAAGTTAAACTGCCCTATAAATTTTCTTTCTTTGGTTTTGGTGGAATTCACTAATGCCACCTTCTGAGCCTGCAGTTTTTATTGTTATTGTTTGTTCATTTATCTTGGTTTTTTTTTTGTGTGAAATACATTAAATTTATTTAACAGCTATGAAATTATTCAGATTTTTCTTTTTCTTGTCAGTTTTGCTAAATTGTGTTTTTCAAGAAATTTATCGTGTGTGTTTTTTTCAAAGTTATTGACACAGTTACTAATAATATCCTCTTATTATTATGTCTGCAGAAGTTATAGTGAACTTCCCTCCTTAGATGAGTTATTTGTGCCTGCTTTTTTGAATTAACTTTCAAGAGGTTTGTTATTTTATTGGCATTTTCCAAAAAATCCCACTTCTCATTTTATACACCTTCTATTTTCCATTTTATTAATTTCTATTCTTATATTACTATTTCCTTCCTTCTGCTTTCTCTAGGTTTTACTCCTCTTATTCTAGTTTCTTGAGGCACAATATTTGCTCATTAATTTTCAGCCATTCTTCATTTCTAAGATATTCATTTAAGGTCATAAATTTTCATCTAATCACTGGTTTAGCTGTACCCTCCAGGTTTTTTTCTCTTATGTTCTTTCCATATTTTAGTCTTCAAGTTCCAGTCTAGATATTTTCTTGAGATGTTTTCTAGCTTATTTTTCTTTCTTTGGCTGTGTTTAATCTACTGTTAAATCGATCCACTGCTTTTAACTTTTTTGGTTATTGCAATTTTCATCTTTATAATTTCTATTTGGTTCTTTTTCACATCTGCTATGCTACTTTTTATAGTTTCTGATTCTCTGCCAAAACTTCTCACCTTGTCTTTTATCACCTTGAACACAATCAGCATACTCTGATAGGCTGCAGCGCTTTTGACAGCCTTGAAGGACAGGGAGTGAAAGATTAAGGTGTGGGGCAGTCATGGATGAGACAGGTAAGGCTGAACTGAAGCAAAACAAATCCTCAGAGAGATTGCAGCACAGCTTTGATTTATCTGGATGGTTCAGACAGTCTTAATTTCTGAAAATGAATTAACATGATTTCTGGAATGCTAGTGCTTATGGGTACCTGCAGAAGATAATATCATACTAGGCCTCAAATGTCGTTCTGCAATTTTTCAAAAGGAATTTTCAGTACACAATAAAAAGACAACCAGGTAATAAAGGAAGAAAGATAATAAATATGAGAACAGCAGAAACAGGAGACAATAGAAACTAACCCATAAAGACTATTGATCTAGTATTGCACCTACCTCTAAAATCAATAAGATCAAGACGAGATAGTTATTACTGGTTGGTACTATATTTATTCCCTTGTCTTTCTGGTTAATCAGTTAT